CAATTTTATTCAGAAACATACATATAGGAACAAAGCTGGTAAATGGTTGGAATCATCCAAAGCTGAGTTTTGACAGGGTGTAATACGTGAAATGATAAGGATTCAAGAGAAGAAGACAGTGTAGAATTGAATTGGTTCACCAAGGAGTCAAGATGGAGAAAAAGAGAGACTGGAGCTAGTGCAAGGAATATGACCTGGAAATAAGTCAAAGGGTAAAGAGATTAGAGGTCATGATGTGGACAAAGATTAGAGTTGTGTAAGGGAAGGCAAAGGGAGAGATGATTCAGCAGATTATGTTTGGATACAAAGATTTCAGAATTCTTGAATAATAAGGTGGACATTTATCGTTGATGGCAAGATCAAGGATATGACCATCTTTCTATGTGGCTGAAGTGAGATGGAGTAGGTAATGGCAAGTGAAGAGGTTAGGGTTTTAAGAGTTAAATATGTATGTGGAAGTCTCTTAGTATGATGTAAAGAGTTGGTGTGGAGAGAAAAATTGTGAGCCATGTACTGAACCCATTGAGGAAGAAAGGGGAATGACCTGGAAGTCTGTAAACAATAGCTACTAGGATTTTGATTTGGTGATATAAATAACATTAATGATTATAGTGATATAAATATCACTAATCTCAAAGGGGTTAATAAATGCTAAAGGAGAACCTGGAATTGGTAACAGGTACATTTAATGATCGCAAGCCTCTCCTTGAAACATTAACCCATGTTTGATTCAGCATTAAGTAAGTTAAGGGTAACTGGATGTCTCAGTGGATAGAATACAAGGCTTAGAGTTAGGAAGACCCGAGTCCAAATCTAGCTCCCAAACTCTTATCAGTTATGTGACCCTGGGCAAATCACTTAACCTCTGTTTGCCTTAATGCACTGGAGAAGGAAAGGCAATCCCAAAGTAACAGCCACATTGTTGGATGACTAACTTTGACAGACTCGGCTCTTCTCAGCAACGCAAGAATCTAAAACAACTCCAAAAGACTCATGATGGAAAATGCTGTCCACATCCAGAAAAAGAACCATGGAATCTGAATGCAGATGGAAGTATGCAATTTGCTCTCCTTTTCTTTTGTTGTTTTGTTTTATTTCTTTCTCGTGGTTTCTCATATTAGTTCTACTTCTTCTATACATCATGACTAATGTGAAAATTTGCTTAGTATGAATGTATAAGTGGAGCTTATATCAGATTACACTTGGGGAGGGGGAAGAAAGGGAGGGGGAAAAATTTAAAACTCAAAATCTTATGGAAGGGAATGTTGAAAACTAAAAATAAATAAATTATTAAGAAAAGGAAATGGCAATCCACTCCAGTATTTTTTGTGGAGGCTAGCTAGGTGGCACAATAGATAGAATGCTAGGCCTGGAGTCAAGAAGACTCATCTTCTTGAGTTTAAATCTGGTCTCAGACACTTACTTACTGGCTGTGTGACCCATGGCAAATCTCTTAAACATGTTTGCCTCAGTTTTCTCATCTGTAAAATGAGTTAGAGAAGAAAATGGCAAACCACACCAGTATTTTTGCAAAGAAAAACCCAGATGTGGTAAAAAAAAAAAAAAGAGTTGGACACAATTAAAAATGAATGAACACATGTTCAAGGCCCTGGGAATAAAAAAAAATTGAAAAATGAAAAAATCCTCTGATCTTGAGGACATGCATTTTATTGTAAACTACATTTTTCTTTTAAATACCCATATTCTTGTGGAGCCAAGATGGTGGAGTAAAAAGGTAGTTGCTCTCACCCTCCCCTATCAACCTCTGAAAACCCAGAAAATATCACCCCAGAAAAAAAACCCTGGAACAGCTGAACTCAAAGAAAGATGGGGAGCAGCAGTGCAGCAGCCCAGCAAATGGGTCTCCCAGTACCTCAGCAAAAATAAGCACTACAAAGGGCCCCAGGTGGATAAGCACCGTGTAGCATTCATCTGAAAGGGACTGAAGAAAGCAACCTAGAGTTTTCCTAAAGTCCCAGTCTTGCTGATTCCAACCCAACACCAGGTAAGCTGTCAGAACCCTACAGCCTCCAAACCCAGGTGGTAGAGGAGGCAAACACCAACACCTGGGCCTCTAAGTGCCTCAGTGAGGGCAGGGGAACTGGTGGAAACTAGCTCAGAAAACCACCAGGTATCTCGGCACTCTACCACAAAGGAATCTCTCAGTGCATTAGCAGAAATGAGGGAGGCAGCATTGTAAGGGGCCCCAGGAAGATACACACCTTGCAGCACACATCTAAAAGAAGCTGCAGAAAGCTAAAGAAAAGGAAAAGCAGGCCATCTAGGATTGCCTGAAAGTTCCAGCCTTGCTGATTCCAGCCCAACACGAGGTAAGCTGCCAAAACCCTACAGCCTTCTAATTGCCAACATAAAAGGCCCCAGCAAACAAAGCCAATGACAAAGACCTAAGCTCCCAACACAAGAAACTTAGGTCAGTGCCCTCTGTTCCCCAGCAGGAGAGCTCAATCTCTTTAAAGGCCAGGGAATAAAGAAACCATGAGTAAAAAGAAATATACCACAGATTCATATTATGAGAAGAGTGAAGAACAAGACAGAAATTCTGAAGAGGACAACATTGTCAACAAACCCACATCTGCAACATCAAAAGGGAATATGAAGTGGTCTGAAGCTCAAAAAGCCTTCTTAGAAGAGCTCAGGAAGGATTTTAAAGTCTAATGAGAGAGGTAGAAGAGTCCTTCAAAAATACAATTGGCCAATTGGGAAAAAAAAAAAGATACACTGAAGAAAACAAGTCCCTAAAAAACACAATTGGCAAACTGGAAAAAAAGTACACTGAAGAAAACAAATCCCTTAAAAATACAATTGGCCAATTGAAGAAGGAAGTACAAAAACTAACAGAAGAAAACAATGTGTTAAAAACTAGAATTGGAAAGTGGAGACTAATGACTCTATGAGAGAGCAAGAATCAGTCAAACAGAAACAAAAAAAATGAAAAAAAAATAGATGAAAACATAAAATACCTCATCGGTAAAACAAACGACCTGGAGAATCGATCCAGGGCAGACAATTTAAAAATCATTGGACTACCTGAAAATCATGATGCAAAAAAGAGCTTGGACAGTATCTTTCAGGAAATCATAAAGGAAAACTGCCCAGAAGTCCTAGAACCAGACGGTAAAATAACCATAGAAAGAATACACTGCTCACTACCTGAAAGAGATCCCAAATTGACAATGCCAAGGAATATAATAGCAATCCAAAATTATCAGAGGAAAGAGAAGATGCTGCAAGCAGCCAGAAAGAAACAATTTAAATATCATGGAACCACAGTCAGAATTACACAGGACCTTGCAGCTTCTACATTAAAAGACCGCAAGGCGTGGAACATGATATTCAGTAAGGCAAAGGAGCTTGGATTGCAGCCAAGGATCACCTACTCAGCAAAAATAAGCATAATTTTTCAAAGGAGGAGACGGATATTCCACGAAATAGGGGGACTTCCAAACCTTCCTCATAAAAAGGCCAGAGCTCAACAAAAAAATTGATCTTCAAGTACAAGATTCAAGAAAGACATAAAAAGGTAAATGGGAGAGAAAGATACAAAATGTTGTTAATAAGGGCAGAATGTTTACATCCCTACGAGGGAAGATAACACTTGCAACTCTTGAGAACTGTATTGTTATTACACCATATTAAAGGGGGTGGATATTTGTTGACTTTGATGTAATAATTTTTTAAAAAATCTAATCAAATGTGTTAAATGGATCCAAGTAAGTGGATTAGTCTGATCTTAGAGTACTTACTGAGAAAGGAGGAGACAGACAAGTGTAAATTACATTAAAGGAAAAGACAGAAAATCCTATTACAGCAGAGGGAAAGAAGGGAGGGGGGTGAACATTGTTTGAACCTTACTCTCATCAGATTTGGCTCAGGAAGGGAATAACATAATCAGGTATAGAAATCTAACTTGCCCTATAGGCAGTAGGAAGAAAAAGGGGAAAGAAAAGGAAGGGGGGATAGAAGGGAGGGAAGAAGCAGTAAGGGCAAAGGGGAAGAAAAGAGAAAGGGATAATAGAAGGGAGGAGAGACTGAAGGAGGTAGTGGTCAAAAGCAAAACACTAGTGGGGGGGAAGGAGAAAGGAGAAATAAAAGGATAAATAGGGGAAAAAAGGATGGAGAAAAAGACAGATAGTAATCATAACTGTGAAAGTTGAATTGCTATATTTTTTTTTCTCTTCTGTTGAGTTTTGTTTCCTCTTTCTGATGGTTCTGCCTATTGGTTTTAATTTTTACTTACAACCTCACTAATGTGAAAATATGTTTAATAGGAATGTAAATATATAGCCTATATCAGATTGTGTGCCTTCTTGGGAAGGGTGGGGAGGAAGAGGGAGAAAAATTTTAAACTCAAAAGCATATGGAAGAGATTGTTGATAAATCAAAATAAATTAATAAAAAAAATTTAAATTAAAAAAATAAATACCCATATTCTTATGGTGATAATCTAAAGTTATGAGTCATGGAATGCTACGATCTTGGAAGAATAAAGGTTTCAGTTATCCCTAGGGCAAGAAAAGTATTCATGGTAATAAAAAAAATATGCTATAACATATTACCAAAGAGAATTTTTCAGAGGGAGCAATATAAAGTTTGTCATCATAGATGAATAAATAGTAAAGAAGGTGGGCCAACCATGAGGCAAAAACAAAGGACAACTGATAGATGACATATCTTCTCCAATTTTACCTACACAAAGAAGAATACTCTCAGAACTCTGAATAGAGTCCCTGTATTGAATATACAAGAAAACATGGCTGTGATTGGTAAGGGATAGAAGGCATGGGTTGGCTGTGATCTGGAAAAATGAAAGGCCACATCTATGTGATGGATCACAGATCCTTCAAAGTATATATACAAGCATTTTCACCTCTAACTGCTTATAGTTGGTTCATTATAGTCCTTAAGATCATTAGGTTCTTTAACACCCACAGAATCTCATTTGGAAGACTTGTGATTAATAGTGATAATTCTGCACGTACCTGTTTCTCTCCACTAGGTTTCTTGTGGTTTAATAGCAGCTCCACAGCCCCCACAACTTCCTTTCTTATGGCATGTAATAGAGCATCTCCAACATACACATTAAAACTTAAGAGCAATTCAATAAGCTCTAGGTTCTCATTTTCAATCGCAATAAGGAGAGCAGTCCTTCCAAGGGGATCAATGCAATTAATATTAATTTTAAAATAGATTTCTGCCTCCTCCAGGGATTTCTTGACACTGGCATAATCCCCCTTCTCCACAGCATTCAAATAGGCTTTCTCTGATGGTGAGAGTTCAGATTCTGCTCTTACAATCCGAAGAGGGATGCGATCTCTGTAGGGAGCATTGACATTCCTTTTGTAGTAGAACTGAGCCATGTTTTATGCCATGTTATTTCTCTGAATCTGAAATCACACATGAAACACACAACACAAACCATAATATTAGTAAGAAGGCTCTTATGAACTGCAAGAAATCTTATTTGACACATTTAAAGCTTTTTGCTCATGCCAACATCAAATAAAATTTTGTTTTTAAAACAAATATTATATGCATTAATGTTTCACTTTCTGAAATTGCAAATTAGAATTGTAACTTTCACTCTATTTGATTTTTAGCTATTTAGAAATATACATTTAAAAGCTATAACCCAAATGGCATGCAAAGTGGTTGATGTACAACAAATTATTTGAAATATAACATGAAAGTTACTCGTGTAGCATAATTAAACAGAAGATGGGTCTATGTATTTGTGGGAACTACTTATAAGACGGCTGAAGATGTGCATGCTTGCTGGAAGAATTCCTCAAAAATCAGAATCCACATTTTGAATGTAATCCCTTAATTGAACCAGGTCACGGTTGATTATATCAGGGGAAATTTCTGAATGATCATTTTGGCCATGATGTCAACCAATTCAATTTAAATTTATTAAGCAATTACTGTGTGCAGAAGTGACATAAAGTTCAGAAGAGATAAATCTCTATCCTTTTAAAGCATTTTTGAAATTGTAGCTTACCATTACTTTAGAAAAATAATTTTCCAAAGCTTATAAAAATCAGTTTGGATGACACAATTTGCTTTGGCCCTGGCTACATTTCCTAATGGTATCTAACTTAGATGTTAATCATTCTTTCAAACTTTTAGTGTCATAACTTTTTCTTTTTCTCAAGAAAATTCATGACAGGAAATGCAAAATTGACGTTCTTGATGTTCTTAGTAAGCAAAGCAAGGTATCTATGATTTATCAAAGCAAATTGAAGTAATCTTATTTCCCAAAGGAAGGGAGTGGGTAGCAAAGGACTAAATCCATAGACAGTAAATTATGACAAATTTCCCTTTCATCCCTTGATACATCTTTTTAACTTCAGGACTATGATGAATCCATCAAAGTACAGAAACCATTAAGCATAATGTAGGTACATTTTTATTCAATGCATTATTTTAAGATGCTAAGGGGATAAACCATTAAAACATTCCCCAAAATGATGTTAAGATAATGAAGCAGGAAAGATAGTTGTAGGAAACTACACGGGAGTGTGATGATTACAGAGAAACAGCTTTCCTCTTCCATGTGGGGTTATATATGAATTATCCATTGTATGCCAGTGGCAGCTATAGCTTATGAGAAGAAAAGAAAGGAGAAGGCCTACCAACACTATTTTGGTATAACTGGGTATCTCAGTGGTAGACCTTGAGCCACTCAAAGGGTTATTTTTTTCTCAAGTCTCTCTCAGCCTTTGCCTTTATATCTTTCCTCCCTGCTCTGCTTACCAAGTTTTCTTGGAAACTCAGTTGCTGTATGTCTTCTGGAACTCTACCTTTACTTTTTAACTTCTGGATAAACTGACTGTTGTTTACCTTTTTAGGCCAGATGCTTCCTGTTATGACTTTGGATTGTCTTGTGCTGATTTTCTTCACCATCAGCTAGCTCACAGATACAGCATTATGCTAAAATTCCACTGAAGCCTCATCCCATTGGCTGGGATAGAATGTTTTTGATCCACAGCCCCACTCTTATAGGTCAGTTTAGGGTGTGTTTTATTAAAATAGTTTCCTATCTCAGTTTTGCTTTGTTAAAGCAAGATCACTGGTGGCTCATTTTAATAATAACTCACATTTTTACAGCTTTTATCTGGATATTCTTATGAAGTAGATCATAGAAGCGTTGTTGTCCACAGGCTACATGGAAAGTGAAACACAGAGTGTTTACATGACTTGTCTAAGTTTGCAGAGATATTGAATTAAACTAAAAATGATCACCCTTTATCCCAAAAAAGTGCATCATTGAATGTTTGACAATTTCAAAATTAGTGTACTAAAGATGTGATATAATCACTATGATGTGAAAAATGTATTCACAGAATTATTCTGTGTAGATTACAAAATTATATGACTATGTTGGAAATAATATGGATGTTTTAATTTCTCCTGCAGTAGCAGCATTAGAGACAATATTACCTGCGTACATAGTAAGAGACGACACTTTGAACTGTGGTGATAATGTTCACATTTCATTCATTTTTTGTTGTTTTGAACTTTCCATAGTTAAACACTGCAGTGTTATTCTAAGGTTGGGCGTTTCATAAATAAAATCTTCAGTTATAACATTAACTGATGTTGAAATGATGTTCAGTGATACTGAAGATAATTATCCCTTTCTTGTACTTTTTATGTTATCTCTTCCCGTAATTCTTATGCATCCTGAATATCGTACCTTTTGATCACTGAATTCAGGGTTCCTTAATTAAGTAAATCCTTCATTCGTGGTCAATCATTGAAGTTGGTTAGCATAAGGAGTGTTATATGATAAAGTAAAAATGCCCCTCCCCTCATTTTTTCCATTTTAGTCTATTTACATGTACTCTGCTTCTTACTAAATTCAAATGAATTATAAAGTGCTTACTATATGAAAGTCATCCTGCTAGGCACTGGGAATACAAATCTAAAAGAGCAAAATATGTTTTCTGTTCTCAATGAACATAATTCTATCTGGTGGGGAGAGGAAGAGACTTTAATGTTTTTGAAAATACATATCATACAAGGTAGGATATGAGAGGGCCAGTTTGAAAAAATGAAGAGAAGAAAGAAATTTTACCCCAGTGGGAATAGGAGTTGGCATTGAAGTCTTTAGGGAGGAAGTAACATCTGAATTGGATTACAAAGGAAAGGAATGACTTTAATAACTTCCTATACTTAGAACTGAGAATAAGGCCAGATAATCTATTTCCTTCCTTCCTGTCTTGCCGTGTCTTGGAACCATTAATGTCGCTTTCTTCAAGGGACCTTTCTTGATGCATCCAGTGAACCCTGACCAAATTTCCATGTATTCATTTTGTGTGTGTGTGTATATATATGTATATGTATATGTGTGTGTGTATTGTGTATTATGTACATATATATACATATATATGTATATATGTATATATATATATATATATATATATATATATATATATATATATAAGCACAGTCCATATTAGATGCTTAATAAGTTATTTTGATTGCTCTATATGATTATTGGGAGTTGTGAGGTGATATTGGTACAAGAAGCATTGCATGATAAAAAATGAATTAGTATTTAAACAGCTTGTATTCTGAGCTTAGGGGTAGCAAGGTGGAGAAGTGGATATAGTACTGGGGTTGGAATCAGGAGCTCAAATGTGGCTTCAGACACTTACTAGCAGTGTGACCCTAGGCAAGTTGCTTGACTCTGTTTGCCTCAGTTTCCTTATCTATAAAATGAGCTGGGGAAGGAAATGGAAAACTATTCCAGTAACTCTGCCAAGAAAACCCCAAATGAGATCATAAAGAGTTGGACACAGCTGAAATGACTGAACAACAGCAAAAATTTCTTTGCTTTAATATAGGGGATTTAGTAGTGGTAAAACAACAAAACACACACAGGAAATAAGGAGCAAAATATATCTTACAATGACATAAACAAAAAAAATCAAAGAATCTCATAGCTGGAAAGGTTACCCAGTCAGAACCACTATAATATAGTAATCTCTCCAAAAACCCTTCAACATGAGGTTATCCAACATTCACTTGAATGCCTCTAGTAAACACTTCTAGTGGGAGCCACTTCTTTGTGCCTGATTTCACATCATCATTATCATGTTTGTCAACTAGGCTTTTGAATGTATGGCAAGATAGTCCATAGGACTTGGCATCATCCCAGTCATGCTGGAAATGATGCAAAGGTGTTGGGCATGCCACTTCATCTTTCAATGCCTATTTCTCTGAGTTAAAAACACTCATTAATGGAGGTAAGGATTAGTGGAAGTAGAAGGGCAAGAGTTAGTAATTAAAGAATAAATGTTGAGAGACTTTGGATAACCTCACACTAATTTTTTTTTTCTATTCTCCTAGATTTGGGCAAAAACATCTAGTAAGAATGGAAATGTTAAAAACACACAATTACCATATACAACAACCCTATATGGTGTAAGCTTTTTTTTTTAAAAGGCTGAAATGCTAGGATTATATGGAAAATAAATATCTACTGATAATGGATTATCATCTTGCTTACAAAAAAATTAATTTATTACCTACATCATTTACCTCTTCTGGCTATATAGCAATCTTGTAGTGATCTTCAAAATGAAACTAGCAATAGGGGACATCAAATTTGAAGTTTTTAAACCTGAGAAATATGTAGTGAAGAGTTCTGATAAGGGTGATTGGATTCCAAAATTGACTTTCACTTATCAGCAATTGCAGAAATGCTACAGGATGGAGAGTTTGGGAGAATAAACCATTTGGTACATTCTGTAGCTTGACCTGAAAAGTGGAAACAAAAGACTCGTTCTCAGGTTGGCAGCCTCATGATACACTTTGTGAATGAAGAAAGGGTCAAGAAATTCAATTCCAATCATACAGCATTTAGGGCTTTCTTTAAACTATTCTCTTTCTGTGAGAAATTGACTGGAACTTCAGCAGGATGCACCTTCAGAATTGCTGCAATGAAGTATGTTTTAGGGCAGTTTGTTTTTTAACGGAATAGCAGCATGGCTGAAATTCTATTTTATAAATGTAATGTAAAATTGCTCTTACATATATGTGATGGGATAGAAAAGTGCTTCACCTTATAAATAAACATAGTAGAAACTAAAAAAGTCTGATAATCAATAGGATAATTAATGGTTACATAATTAATGAAAAAGATAGAATACATCTTCCCTATTTTGGAAGATGTATTTTTAAATGAGGAAAATGAATGTAAAGATGATGGGTGAATATCAGAGACAGATTGCTAGACTTAGAGTCAATAAGACCCCAAATTTAATTCTGCCCCATGCACTATGAGCTGCACTATTTAAGCTTTGTTTGGTTCAGCTTTCTCATCTGTAAAATGGGTTTAGTATACCTATCGCACAGGTTTATTGTGAGTAGAAAAATG